ATTGGGACAGTTTTAGACATTTGCAGACTTAAAACTGGCCTATAAAGTACTGCAGAAACCGGCTCCAGATCCTCTGGCAGAGTTCATCAGCCAAAGAAACAGCCTTGAGCGGATCACTGGAGGCTCTGCCAGAGGCTACTGCTACAGTCCTCTGTGCAGGAACGCTTTCAGTCAGTCGGCCTGCTCAGTCAGGAGTGCAGGTGTGTGGAACTCAGTACCTGAGGAGGTCAAACTGCTTCCAACGTACAAGGCCTTCACAAAAAAACTGAAAATGTGGCTCATCAACACCTACAGCTGCCAGCACTAAAAGATGGCTGTTGTGATGTTTGATGTTATAAAATGTTATGCTGTGATGTTGCATTTTTTCTTAATTGTATAGTAAGTGTTGTTTATGTGTCTTGTGTTATATTGTACATGTATTGTGTGCTTTTTCTATTTTCTTCTTTTTTAAATTGTAGTTTTACTGCCTGTTTCACATCATGGCCTACAGATGAAAACGAGCCTTCTGGCTAATTCTGGCTTTTGTAACCATGTGTAATCATGTGTTTTATGAAATTGCGCTGTCCCCTTTTAAATAAACTAATCTAATCTAATTTGGACAAAATATCAGGATTATAGGCCAGATGTGGTTCATCCTCCCGTTATCGGTTCTAACACCGTCAGAAAGCTGAACACCTTTCAGGTTTACAGTTTCTGGCTCCTGAAAACAGTCTAATGGTGCTTTTCTTTAAATAATAAATGCTTTTAGAACCTGCAGGTGGGTTCTGGGCTCAAACAGCCTCATCACCTCCAGCTGTGGACCATGTTGGCCACTTGACCAGAAATAAAAATCTCTGGAACCGGGGGCTGTTCTCCAGTTCTTCTGGACACATGTAGAACCGAGTGATGTGGCCAAACAGTGAATGACAACAAGTGTTCTCGTTGTGGGCGACGGCCGTCCAGTCTAACGTTCTTCTCTTTGTCTGTTTGTCCTGCAGCAGAGCGACCCTCAGCGCCCAGCCGCCGCCATGATGCCGCGCTGCAGAGTGAACCTCAGCACCATGATCTTCCTGGTGATCCTGCAGGGGGCGGCCGTGGTGCTGTTCTGCGGCTGGTACGTCCAGCTCAGCCCCTGTGGCTCCGCCCCCTCCAACGGAAAGGTCCACGTCCTGCTGCTGTCGTCGTGGCGCTCGGGCTCGTCCTTCCTGGGCCAAGTGTTCAGCCAGCACCCGTCCGTCTTCTACCTCATGGAGCCGGCCTGGCACGTCTGGACCCGGCTGCAGAAGCCCGGCGCCCGGTCGCTGCGGATGGCGGTGCGGGACCTGCTGCGGAGCGTCTTCCAGTGCGACCTGTCGGTGATGGAGGCCTACCTGCCGGAGAACCACAACGTGTCCTCCCTGTTCATGTGGAGCCACAGCCGGGCTCTGTGCTCGCCGCCGGCCTGTAACCTGACGCCACGGAACCAGTTCAGCAACCAGACCCAGTGCAATCAGCTGTGCAACGCTCAGGGCCTGCAGCGGGCCGAGGCGGCCTGCAACACCTACAGCCACGTGGTGCTGAAAGAGGTGCGCTTCTTCGAGCTGGAATCCCTCTACCCGCTCCTGCAGGACTCCAACCTGGACCTCCGCATCATCCACCTGGTCCGAGACCCGCGGGCGGTGGTCCGGTCCAGAGAGGAGTCCGCCAAAGCCTTCGTGAGCGACAACGCCATCGTGCTGGAGCAGAGGAGCATCCCGGCCGCCGAGGTGCAGTATCAGGTCATGCAGGAGATCTGCCGCAGCCACGTGCGCATCAACGAGCGCGCCGTCCTGAAGCCGCCCCCGTTCCTGAAAGGCCGCTACAAGATGGTCCGCTACGAGGACATGGCGCGCAACCCGCTGGAGGAGATCGCCGCCATGTACGAGTTCGTGGGTCTGGACACGACGCAGCAGCTGGAGGAGTGGATCTACCGCGTGACGCACGGGAAGGGCAAAGGCACCAGGAAGGAGGCCTTCAAGATCACGTCGCGCAACGCCGCCGACGTGTCGCAGGCGTGGCGCACCCTGCTGCCGCACAGCAAGGTCAGGCGCATCCAGGAGGTGTGCAAGGGCGCCATGTCGCTGCTGGGCTACAGGACGGTCAACAGCGAGAAGGAGCAGAAGAGGCTGGACATCGACCTGCTGGTGCCGCGGGAGCCCTACCAGTTCAGCTGGTTACCGGCCAAGACCCAGCAGCCCAGCAGAAGATAAAACGCGAGGAGACTGAACCGGACTGGGGTGGTGGCTCCACCAGGCTGTGGAGGCCCATTCATGCTTTCTGCATCCTGCTGTCCCGACTGGACTGATTCTATCACAATTCATCAGGCGGCTGGTTCCCTCTCAACACAAACCCTTCTGACGGGCTGGGACTTCACTGCTGGCTGCAGCACCAGTCAGTGAACATTGGAGCAGTTCCTGGACCTGGCACCGCATGTCTGGAGCTTTTAGAACTTTTCCTGAAGTGACGACTCTGTTGATGATTTACTATGAAGGTGTGGCTGATGCCTCACAGTGTTTATTTTGAGCTGTATTTGCTTCCTTGGTCACAATGTTTGAGCTTCTAGCGGATGCAGAAAGCAGGAATGGGCCAGAGACTCTCCTGGTACCACAGACCGACCCGCCGTACGAGCAGAGGGAACGCTGGTGTCGAACGCTGTCTGATGCAAATACATTAAAAACAGATGAAGCGGAGCCACTTCCATACAGGTGGAAGCTGCAGCGGGTTTCCTCCAAAGCCTCTTTACAGACGGACAGCTTCCTGATGTTCTGAGCGGTCCAGTCTGGTGTAGAACACATGAGCGGTTCTTCAGCAGGAGGCGGTTTTCCACTGCAGGAGCTCGAGGCACTAGACGGGAACTCAGTCCTGTGCTGTGGTGACGTTCACTCAGAGCTGCTGGAGGTAACTCCAGGAGAAGACAGAACTGTTCAGGGTTGTTGTGTTGGTTTGTTGATGGTGATGTTAGACAGCAGAAGATTCCAACTGTGAGTTCAACCAATCAGGACCTACCTTGAACTTCTACAGGGTTTGTTCCTGCAGGTGGCGCTGCCCTGAAACAGTGTTCAGCTTCCTGCATTTTTGGGATAAACACCCCGATGGTTGCTGTTTGTTTGTTTGTTTGTTTTTGTAAATATCTGTGTTCTTTGAGTTTAACCAACAAGCAGAGTGGGTACTTTTTTCTCTGCCTCAGAGGTTGTGAAGGTCCAGTTCCTGCTCCACCTTTCCTTAAACTACAAGAACTTTAAGGAGGAGGTTTCAGGGCAGCTCAGAGGTACCGACCCCGGGGTAGGAACTTCATTCTGCCCTGAGAAGTGCTTCATGGGGTCGAGTCCTGCAGTGGAAAACGGCTTCATGCCGTCTGTTCTGTTCTCCTACGGTGTGAAGTCTACTGTAGTGATGCCACCAGCCTTCTCAGAGAAGGTGCTGTAGAGGTTCCTGCAGAGGAGAACGGCTTGTTGTCTCCTCCAAGTTTAACCAGCAGGTTTTTCAGTTCTCTCAGAAGTCCGTCTCTTGGTGTTGGTACTTTTTTCTGCCTCAGAAACAGCAGGTTTGGTTCCTTCAGTGGAAAACAGCCTTTTCTGGAAGTACAGGAACGCTGAGGTTCTGGACTGTTGTAAACCGGTACCGTCGTGTTTATGAATCATTCCGTGCTGAGCAGAGCTCGGTTCAGGAACGTTCTCTACAGAGACGCTTCCTGTCAGTTCATTCCAACAGCTGATTGTGTTTTTGTGTCTGAGGGGACAAACTGCTTCGACTGCATTCTTTCTTCCTTTTTTTACGGCGCCGTCGTCTGAGCCACAGCCCCGGGCTAAAGTAGCTAGAATCCTGATCAGTTTGCCTCATTCGTCTGGAGGCGTGAAAACGAGATCAGAGGGGAACACAGGAGCTGGGTTTGGGTCGTTCACAGCGCCGTGCTGGACGTCTGGTGGTTCTGCTGCCATCGGGCTCACATGGCCGGCATTCCCCTCCTCGGCTGCTCCCTGCCTCAGGCCGGGCGTCCGTCCAGCGTCCCTGAGGCCTGTTCTGGGGTGACGCCGCCGTGACGGGCAGAGCTAGTCCAGCAGGATGTTTGTTCACGTCTGAGACACCATGAAGCACATTGTTCTGCAGAGAGCATCTGCTGCCTTGTTGTCACTCGACTTGACCTTCATGTGTTCGATACTCAGAGGCTGCTCCTTTAAACGACCCATAATTATCACGATTCAGGCTGATTCATGCTGATTCAGGCTGATTCGGGCTGATTCAGGCTGATTCGGGCTGATTCATGCTGATTCAGGCTGATTCATGCTGATTCGGGCTGATTCATGCTGATTCATGCTGATTCATGCTGATTCGGGCTGATTCAGGCTGATTCATGCTGATTCGGGCTGATTCGGGCTGATTCATGCTGATTCATGCTGATTCAGGCTGATTCAGGCTGATTCAGGCTGATTCGGGCTGATTCATGCTGATTCGGGCTGATTCATGCTGATTCATGCTGATTCATGCTGATTCATGCTTTGGTTTCACAGTGAATCTACTGAATTCTGAATGAAACAACTCTTTGAACGTTGCTGCTGGTTTCTGCGTTTCTACGAGTGTCTTCAGGCGAAAGCTGCAGTCGGTCGGCATGAAGACGAGAATTCAAAGAATCCGTCCTCATGAAGGCCGACAGAGTTTCACTGAGTCATTATCTCATTATCATAAAGTTCAAACAGAGATGGTGTTAATACGACTACAAGTTAAGAAATTCAAATGAATTTTGTTTTTTCAGTTGGTAAATTCAAATTAAACTTAAAGTTTTATTTATTGCAATAGTTTCTTTCTAGAATTCACTTTTTTGCAGTTACTCAAGTTGAACCATTTAAACTCAGATTGATGGGTTCAAATTCAGAATCCTCCTCAAGCTGAGAAATCAAAATTCTTCTCATGAGATTCGGGTTAATTTTTTTCTTACATTTATTCAAGCTCAGAAATTCAAATTCTTTTTTGTAGTTGCAGTAATTCATTTTGAGAAATTCATTTTAAAATTCAAACAACGAGATTCAAACTCCATTTTTGTCGGTGATTCACGCTGAGAAGCTCAAATTCATTTTTCAGTTTTTCATGTTGAGATATTTCAATTACAAAACTCCAGTTCAGTCATTTATTATAAATATTCAAACTGCTAAACGCACCTCGACCCACAGAGACGTGTTCACGTGAAACACAGCCGACAGAACAAGTCTTTGGACTCGTGTTATGAGACAAGCCTGAAGCACAAACAGCCTCGTTCCACAGAAATCTGTTCATTTGGGATATTTGTTGCTTCTCTTGGTCACAAGTCGTTTATCTGATCAAGATCCTGCAATGAAAAGTCAGAAATGATCATATTTGTGCAGGCCGGAGCTCGATTCAACGCTTAAATGATCCAAACAGCAGAACCTGAAGCTCTAACGTCTCGTCCAGTCGTCCTCAGATGTGTTCACAGCCTCCCATTAGAGAAGGAAACAACAGCTTCAGTCTCTGGAATCAGCTGAAATGACAAAAGCAATAATAAATAAAAATCTAATGAACATCATGACGGTGGTTTGAATCCTGGTTCAACAAAAATATTTTTATAAAACCCATCAAATCAGCCTGATGGGACCCGTAGACTACCATCTAGCTGAACCAGCCTCTGAGCCAATCACTGCCATCAGGTGTTTCTGTAACTCTCAGTCAGACTTCTGCACCTGTTGACAGGTGTTCTGGTCCACTGCTCATCAGCAAAGGCCTCTCATTGGTCCGCTGCTCATCAGCAAAGGCCTCTCATTGGTCCACTGCTCATCAGCAAAGGCCTCTCATTGGTCCGCTGCTCATCAGCAAAGGCCTCTCATTGGTCCACCACAGTTTAATTTTTAATTTCTAAATTATTCTTGTCAACCACAATTCAAAGCAACGTCTTATTTCACTAAATTATAATTTAGCACATTTTTATTTATTGCTACTTTTTCCAGTTTCTGGTTATTTGAGGGACTGCTGTGAGTTTAGTCTTTTCTTTAATGGACGGGGATGAACAGATCTGAGGTAAAAGCTGGGCGACGCCCTCCACACAGCAGGGGGCGCTGCAGGCAGAGCACATCTCATGTGTCCTCCAGGTGTGTTCGGATCCTTTCTCCTTCAGCTCATACGTCATCTGCGTCCATGTAAGTGCTTCAACCTCCAACTTCTCGCTGTGTTCTTTGACTTAAGGTTGTTTTCGTGGACGTTAGCGTCGACTGAGCGACTCTGCTCAGACGGAAACGTTCCTCCTGAAGCTCCCTCCCTCTGTTGACGTTGTTTACAGGATTGTTTGTGTGTTTGTTTGATTGAACAATGATTCTGCTGATGAACTAAATGTGTTTAGAGTAGTTTGACGGAGGAGGGAAGCGTGTAGCGGGTAGTTGAATCATGTTGATTTACGTCTTTGGATCAAATTAAAGAGTTAAATGAACTGCTGATGGCGTCGGTGTTCAGAGTCTCTGAGTGTTTCTGCTGCCGTTTAATTCATCTGTGTGGAAGGAAAGTGTCAAAGCAGTGGCTTCCCTTCAACGTGGAGCTTTGTTTTTACTGCTCACATGGACCAGAACCATGTCTTTGGTACATGAAGCTACTAAATACTGGTACCATTCAGGATATCGTGTCGGTTTGAGGCGTTCAGACTTAGAACCTTAAAGCTGCACTAATCTGATTTTATATTAACAACACATCAAATGAGCGTGTGACCTGAAAAAATGTTTTTTTTTTGCACATTTCTTCAGCTCTGCTATTGAAATACTAAATTAATTCAGACTGTTGTACTAGTCGGGTGAACACTGGGTTGTTTTAAAGGAAATAAAACTCTTCTTTAATACTTCTGGTTCCTGTCCTCCTCTGTGACGTGGACTGAACGTTTAGGACGTAGCCGGACGTGTGCTGAACATCTTTCAACATGTTAGAGACCAAACAACCAATAATCTGCAGTTTTATGAAGTTAGTGACCAAACATGAGAAGTTAAATCGTGTTGATTTGCAAAATAAAAGCATCGTGTCTCTGTAGCTTCCCTTAAACGTGGACTGTAGTGTTTGTTTTTATATTTATGTCAGTTTTAGTTCATTTCCTACTAAACATGCAGGACATCGTGTAGATTTAAGTTGTTTTTTCCACGTTTAGTAACTTAAAGCTGCACTCATCTGTATTTTTATATGAACAAAACATCAAATGACGTCAAAAACTGTCAAAATTCTTTAAATTCTGCCTCTTAAATGTGAATATTTTCTGGTTTCTTTTCTTCTCTATGACAGTAAACTTTTTTTTTTTTTTTACAGTTTTCTGACATTTCAGTGACCAAATAACGAATAAATTAACCAAGAACATAATCTGTACTGACAATAATCATCAGTGGCCGCCAGTTTTAGTTGATTATTAATATGAATGAAATGATCTGTT